TCCGGCCGTGCTGCCTGGGTCCCATGGTAGAAGGACGATGGCGACTGAACGGCGGCTGCTGGTCGATACCGCCGTTGCCGTGATCGCCACCACCGACGTAGTGTCGCTTACGGAGGTTGCGGGCGTTACTGCGAGGTTTGCGAGCAGCTACCGACGATGACATATCGACGGTGGCGGTGAAACGCGACGAAGGAGTCAAAGCGGCAGCGGCAAACTCAGGCGGAGGCAGGTCGTCCATCGATCGGATGCCGAAAATCAATCCCAGCTAAACAAATCTTTTAAAAGTCACCACGGTGCAAAGAATTTCACAACGCGTCGCTGATATGGTGATTTAGCTTTAATCACCTAAGTCGCGGATTACGGATATCACACAAAAACAAACACCATTCACGTACGCGACCGATTTCATAAAAGCTGATCTCCGGTGCCAGCTGATGCTTATTTGTGACACGAACTATAACGATGAAAATGTTATATATGTATATAAAGTTCATCTATATACAACTGTTCTCTGCCAACTACTGTTTAAGTATAACGGAAGAATAAAAAATGTAATGAATTATTTATATGATATACAGTTCAGTAAAACAGAAACTTGCATCTTCACAGTCATGTATGTGCGATTGAAAACAATGCTGATGAGTTACGAAGAACATGCTATAGGCGAACAGCAAATTATGGAACCGTTGACCGAGTGTTGAAAATACAGTGCGCATTATCGAATGGACGAAAGGGAAACAAGGCTACAGCTGGACAGTAAGCAACAATCATGGTGCGCATCTATACGTTGCTATACATGAGAGCAGATATCGACACACTGCACGTTTGGCGTAATGAGAAACGAAGTGGTCTCCAGATTGTCAACCATACGCTGCGACTAGAGACGATACCCCATGAAAACAATGTCTCATAACAACAATACGGTGCTTACAGCTGCTAACAGCCGGAAATGAGGAAGTTCGTCAGGAAAATCAACAAAACGCACGATACAACGGTTGGAAGAATAAAGAACCCGATACAGTTGTTGGCAAAATAGCGAACTTCATAAAAAGTATCTTCGGCGATTCAGTAAAGACACAGACTTAAACCAGATTTCAACTAATCAACAAAAAGTTGATTCCTTCGCTAAACGGAAACCCTCCTAATCACTTCTAAGGACTAAGCACTGAAGATGGTAACATACAAAGATGCAGCATACACAGACGAAGAGGCAGTTCAAAGAGAATGCTGCATAACGCTCCCGAATCGAGGCCATATGGAAGAACACAAAAGTTTTGCCAGGATAGTGCACTGGCATTCGTCCAAGCAAGCTACTTGCGAAGCAACGATAAAAAGATCAGTCGAAAGCGGTCGAACATACTGAGGAAGTGAAAATACTCTGGGTGTTCCAACCACGAATTGAGGAAGAAATAATAGCTCACTGTCCGGATGTGGTGATGCCAGACAAAGCGAAACGCTGACTGACGTGACTGGCTCATCGCAAACCCGTTGTTGTTACAAGGATAGAAATGATACTGTACTATGAATAACTGAGGATGGCAATACAAAAGATCTGCAGAGTAAAGGTAGAAGTCATCCCTAAGGTGATCGCTGCCCTCACAGAAGTCATTATCTCGCTCTTAAACGGAGCGGCCCCAGTATGATCTATGCTGATTACGCGTGTTCACTTAATTACTTTACTTTTCTCTCAGAATCGATCATTTGTTACAGCTTTTTTGTCATTTCATCTCCATATATTTCGTTGCCTTAACCGTACATTGTATAACGATTAACGGAGCCGAAGCCACTCCATTTGTTTTTTACGCCACTCGCGTCTAAGCAATTACTTGGGGGCAACGTCAAGTGGGGTGGGAAAACTAGCAGCCAGTTCGACAACTACGAGGAACATATGGCTAACTAACAGAGAAGATAGGAGGCTGAATAGTCGGAAATAAGAAGTTATTTCGGTAGAAACAGAGGTGCCGAAAAGCGAATGACCTAGACATAACCTTATTACTTTAGACTAATACGACTGCAATAAAAAAATAGTTTTACATGATTACGTTAAACTAAATTGATAATTATAGAAAATAACTAAACTAATAATTCCAGTATTTTCTTATAGCAATACAACTTCTCTGCCGAACAACACCGCCTCCTTTACTTTGAAAAACGCTCGTGAGATCGGGAACGAAACGTCGGTATTTGTTCATCGCCCAATAAACCGATATGCTGCATTGCGCAGAATAAAATAGTATTTTTGTTCCGTATAAAATTAATTAAAATTTTTAATTTAAAAATGAACTGTGAATATATTCCGTTGCACAACCGAGAGAACCATAGGACTGGCAGCTGTTGTAATCGAATGTTTCATGAATGACCACGGCGTTGCTTAGCAACGGATGACACTCTGATCGATGCTTGATGTTAATTATCAGAACTGGGAAGCGCTGATGCCCTTTCTGATCTATTTTATTCAGGAAGTTAATTGCCATGAAATCATGTCCAGTGTAGCGTAATACTGCCTC